GGGGGGGGGGGAGTGGATGTTTTTTTCGTGCGTAAGGGATGGTCGGACGTAACGGGGACGTCGCGACGGAAGTTGGCGCGAATATAAAAACCGGCGTCCGCGACGGCGTCTTCCATGCTGGATAATTTAACTTTTTAATAATAGTGATATAGTATAATAGCGACAATTAATATAGTAAACGAATAATCATAATAATACGTTCTTGAGTATTGATTACATAATAGGTGGGGACGTGCCTAAGAATACTCGCGGCATCGAAGAGCACAAAGGCAGTTTTTCTCTTTTTTTTTTCTTTCTTTTCTTTATCTTTTCGTTCGTTCCATTTTCTCTCTTTCCTTCTGCAATTTCTCTCGCGAACAATTGTCCTTCTCTTTCTTAGTTAGACTGGATACGGAGAGTAACGTTTATCGGATGAGCCTCAAGGCTAATCGATTATTGATAACGGTTCGATTTTCTTTTTATTGGCGAAAGTCATTAGATATCGAGTTGGTATCAAAAAGAAGACGGGTACCGATATAATTATTGCAAGGAAAAATGTAAAAAGAATGGACGAGTGAAAGAGGAAAAAAATAAAATAAAACGCGTTAGAATCAAGAGACGAATTTCGTAAATGGATAAAGGGCAAACCAATTTTTGTTTTAAATTCGATTGATAACGTCTTCGGCGTATTTGCGTGAAAAAAGAAATTTTTTTTTGTCTAATAAGAAATTAGCATAACGACAGACAAGACCGATAACGATATAACGCAACGTGACGCACGCATCATAAACGCAATGATGAACAGATCGTTGTTGTGACAGTTGACAGATGTGATCGCAACTATATAAATAATACTAACAATAATAATATATAGCTCAACCAGCATGCGTTTACATAATTTAACGATACTCAACTAATGGATGGTTGGTTAGCGATATCAACAAATCTACGCATTACTTGTCTCATTCGCATAGAAGATCAACAGGATTATTAGTACAGAGAAGATGACGTTGATGGCTGTGCGACGATAATGATAATAATGGTGATGATGATTGCTAGTGGTACGCTAATGGTGAATAGAAAAGAAAGAAATCAAGGACGATGACGAATAATAATTAGAAGTACAATCTTCTAATGCAACGTCAAATCCCAATGACAAGAAAAAAAAAGGATACAGATATGAAGTAAACGTGTCATCTACGCTGCCAACACGTGCGTCCCACGTGACAAGCTACTATATGTATACTCGAGTAAGTTCCTTCCTATGATACATCAGAGACAGACATACTCGCCACTATTCAATAACATCAGTCGTACGTTATCACTTTGAGTTACGTTTGGAGAGAGTTCTGGATAGGTGAGTAAAAAGAGGTTCAAAGCTTAAGGATCATTTGTGTAAAGAGGGTCCAAGAGGATAAGGGTCAGTATGAGTGATAAAAAAAAAATTGCTTCAAATTTGTAGTCCAGGTCTACGTGTACGAAATCATATGGCGAGGTCAAAGGAAGATGTGACGAAAGTGAAAATTGGCTTGATACGAGTTTCAGGTATGAGGTGGAACATTTTAAACCTGAAGGGAGGACCTTGGACCTTCAAATTCCTCCCTTGGAAGATCTGACAAGACCCCTCTGATTTCCGGGCACGAAATTCTTGACTATGACTCCGACCCCTTTTTGCTCAGTTTTAGGAAACAATAGCTTTTACTAGACGCCAGCCTATAATATCCGTTCCCTAGAGTAATTATGAAAATTTGACTTGGGTATCCAGTGAGCAAGGTACCGGGTCCAAAATTTCTTACCGAAGACACGTACTCTTAGACCCTCTACCCTCATCGATAGCCCTACCCCCTAGTCGTCCTGAACAAACAGATCATAGAAAATAAAAATATACCAAGTGATTATGAAGGAAACAATGAATGATAATGCATACCGTTTCGTTTACAACGTATACGGCACTTCTACTACGACGTACCGTCTTCTGGTCTAGACTCCTGTCTCTCTCTTTCTCTCCTATAATCCATTCTCACCCTACTCCATCTCACTCGCCATAATCTCATTCAGTCACCCTTATCATTTCTTCCCACTTCCATTCGCGTATAACAACCACTATTCTTATCTACCCTTAGTCCAATCCAATGATCTTCGCCTATATTCTCTTTCTCTTCTCTACTTTTTTACCCTCCAAACAAAATTCCACCCCCTTGGGGCCCAACGTCGAACAACTCGGTAAACGACTCCGACACGCCGTGAGACGGGGCTATAGCCAACGTCGAAGAGAAAAAGAAATACAGCGTATCCTCGAAGAATCGACAAAACTATCAAGATGGTGTTACAAATAAAATACAAAGACAAGGGTGACTTTCACCCTCTTCGCTCGCAATCCTGTAAACAATATTCCTACGCGCCCTTATACATATGCCGCGTACGTTGCGTCTGTTCCGTGTAAGCATAATACGTGAATACGAGTATAATATATGGTGGGTGTGTCCTTCTCGATGGTTTATATCCTGCGAGTATGCCTCCTTGCTAATTCATATATAAATTAATAATACTCCTGGGTCTTCGCGAATTACAATTTGCAAAAGAATACGTCAACATTCTATTCGCATATTGCGCTTGGTTTATCATTGTTATTTGTTCTCGCTCTCTCTCTCTCTCTCTTTCTCGTTTGTCTCTTTGTTCCGTATTATCTTTTAAGTAACAGGTATTGTTATTATTATTATTATTATATGTAATATATATATATACAGTGTACGCATCTTCACGTGTCCTATGTTTTTTTTTTATGTACCTGCATGTAGTGCATATCACTAGAGCACGTTATCAGTATCCGTCTGTGTAATGTACTCGTTATCACTAGGTAATATTATTACTTATCGCTTAGAAAGGATATCGTCTTTCGTCTCTTTTGCAATTTTCTCAATTTTCCTTTTTCGTTTTCATTTCTCACTCCCGCCTCTACTCTCTCGATTCATCATCGATTCTCGTACGCTTTTCTTTTCTTCTCTTTAATCTCTCTCTCTCTCTCTCTCTTATAATACTTTTCCTTCCTATTTCTCATGTCGCTTCCACGCGAACATTAAGCGATATATTTATTAAGTTACTATTGTTATCGTTACTATGTATCCCTCGTACGGATATATATATTATACATATTCAATCTTGTATAATGTATATACTTGTACGCGCCTATACGTAGTTTATATCGTTAAGTATAGTTGAGTAATCACTTATTGCTCGAAATTTCTCACATCCTTCGTTATCGAGGTTCGTTTCTTTTTTTTTTTTTTTTTCGAATTATCATCGCGTACGCCGCTGAATATTTTCTCACGTTATCCGTTCAAACCAAATCTTGTTCTCGTCCTTCGTTTTATGCTCTATCTCGCACTTATTTTCCTTATCTGTTTTCTCGTCTATATTGTTTTATCCGTTCCCTGTTTTTTTTCTCTCTCCCTCCACCTACGATACTCTTCGATTTATTACTTCGCATCTCTCTCTAATCGACTATCATTGCCGCACGTAAAATCCATTCGTCCAAATTACACACCTTGATCGAACTCGTGTCGATTGATCGCAGAATCGATTTTGATTCTCATTCTGGATCGCGTCTCGACGTTCTACACTAATAATAATAATATCCATAAAATCATCCTCATTCTTTCCTCATTTAAATATAATGCGTGCGCGCGCACGCGCTTTTATGTATATGTACGTACCGTATTATCAGAATAGATTAATTAACGCGTTTATGTATAAGTTAATTAACGACTTATTTCACTTAAATTTAACCTTACGCTTACTGAGCTAAATCTTAAGTTCTCCCATTTCTCGTCACCTTTTTTTTTTCTGTTTAATATATATATATCGTTCCTCACGTCGCGTGTCGTCACTTAAGTATCTCATTTCAAAGTATTTAAGTACCATCAGGGCGTTTTCTAAATCGATAAGGTAAACAGTCCTCGCTGGCTCGTGGACAGTTCTGTTCTGTTTTTTTTTTTGGCCAAGAAAAAAATTATGACGAAAATATGACGACGGTGCCAAAGTGACAGAAAAAATAAATAAAACGTATCTAATCTCTCGTGACCATACCGTGGTCATCACTTCCGCGTGCTTTTTCTTTTTTTTTTTTCTTTTCTTACTCTGCTTTCATCTTTTTCCTTCTCATTTCTCTTTCTTTTTCACTCTCTCGCATACCCCGACCGACCCGCGACACGCGACACGCGATAACGCAGGATCGGTCGCGTGACGAACGACGACGAGTCGCGCAGCGTTTACAACGTATGTATATATGTATATTTAACGAAGTTCTAGTCCTTACGCGATGGAGAGCAGAGAATATTGTCTTCGATAACACGAAAATGGCTAGGTGATAAGAGGTACGGTTCTCTTGGTTTCTTTTTTCCTTCTCTCTATTTGTCATTCAGTTTTCTCTTGAAAAGGGAGGATCGAGATTTTTCTTGCTTAACTTGGGATTAGGTTAATGGAAGGGTTGCAGGGTAAGTTAGGGTTGGTCGTTGGATGATGTGGAACTTTTGTTTTTTTTTGTGTTTCTTTCGAAATTCCTTTTCTTTTCTGTCTCTTTACTTTAGATAGTAATTCGACTCGTAGTTTCTTTCCCCTATGTATCAATAAGATCGGCGAACGACAACAGGTCGAATACGACAACATGGCGCATTTAAATTTCGCGAAACTCGCCTATCAGTTAGTAGTAAAGTAGTATTGCTTCGAAAGTGCTTCCTTCTCTTTTTTCTTTCCTCTTCTTTTGTATTATTAACGGCTGCACCGAATTTTCAACGAAATCCCATCGCGCGGTCATTATCGGACGTTGCTTAGTGAGTTTCTTTTCTTCCTCTTCTTTTGTATTATTAACGGCTGCACCGAATTTTCAACGAAATCCCATCGCGCGGTCATTATCGGACGTTGCTTAGTGAGTTTCTTTTCTTTTTTTTTTTTTGTATTTTTCTTTTATCGGTGCGCCTAAAGAATACTTGTCCATCGTTTTACCTTTTTCGCCATTCCGTTTTCCCCTCGGAAAGCAAATGACGAGAGAGGTCAGCGAATGGAATGATTGCTCGAAATAATTTTGTCGAAAAAAAAAGAAAATTGAGAAACACGATAAAGCTCAAAAATGAGAATGAAAACGATTGAGTAATATAATAGAATAAAGGCGCGTTGCCAACCACGCGCTTTCTCTCGTCTTAACTAGGAACCGAATGTGCTAAACGCAACGACTAAATTACAGAATATAATTAATACAAGACTCGACAATAAGTTATAATTAAGGAGTAGCGTTTTGGTGGGTAGTTCTGTGGGTAGCGGGGCTAGGATATCTCGCAAGGAATTAGGATTTGGAATTGATATAAAGAGGAGGGAGGAAGATCGGATGATTCCGTCGTATATAACGTAGGAATTTCATACAAGTCTCTAGGAATTTTGTATATCCGCATTGATCGATATGACACACGCGAACGTCTCAGACTTAACGTCTCCCATGCGTATCGCTTTGTCTTTCTTCCAATTGTTTCCCGTCGTCTCATCGAGCTCCGTTTCGCTTAAATCGAGGATCGATGCCATTGACCATGCCTATCGCAGACTTATCGCAGACTTATCGCAGACTCGGTATGAGATCATTTTACTCGCGTTTACAGTGGAATCGGAAAATCGTAAAACTCGACGCATCGTATCCTAATAATACATTTCAAAAGTTCAAATCGCTTTCAATTTTCGCGCGCTTTCACAAGACGCTCTCTCTCTCTCTCTCCCCTGAATTCTCGTGTTCGCACTAAAGTAACGTGTCGCCGTGACTATTCGCAATTATCAAACGAGTCTCATGATAATCACCGAGGACGTAGAATGTGCGCGAGTTAATTCCGTCATCCCCGGCAAGATCCATTCCTCGATCACGTGGCACTCCTCGTTGTCTCGACGAAGAGCAACAAATAGAATAAGCAGTCATAGATAGTAGAGTAGCGGTAGTCAAGGTAGATATCAGTAACGGTAGTAGCAGTAGTGACAGTATTAGTGGGTAGAGTAGTAGCAATAGTATTAGATAGTTGCATCGGTTGAGAAGTAGCAGTAGGGTGTGTCTACGCCTCGCGTTGGGAATATCGCAAATACAGAGAGTACAGGGTTAGTCCTAAGGATACTCTCTCTAGACGTACATCCCCATGCCATACATGGAGCCCCAATCGACACCCTGGAAGCTGGACATGTCGACGTTGGTCAGGGAGTATCCTTGGTAGGGATTACCAGGAGCGGCAGCGGTCGCAGGGTTAGCTGGTGGTGCCGGTGCTGGGGCGGGGGCGGCTGCAACCGCAGCAGGAATCGGATACGGGGCGTATCTGTAGGCTGAGAGGGCAGGATAGCTGCCAAAGAGTTTTCCATAGCCGGCCACGGCGTTCTGCACCTGCGCCGCGGCGGCCGCAGCTGCGGCAGCCTGCACCTGCGCCTGCGCCTGAGCCGCCACTATCTGCGAGGCAACCGGCAACGGTGGCTGAGGGGCCAGTCGGACCCCCAACGTGCTAAGGACGACCCTCTTGCCCAGGGTGAGTGCACCGGGTTGCACAGCCTCCTTGGGCTGGGCCTTCTTGCACTCGACCTTCTTGTTCTTGATCGTGTGAAAGTGGATCTCGCACACGCGGTCCACGACGTCCTCGTTCTCGAAGGTGACGAACCCGAAGCCCCGATGTCTCTTTGTCTGCTGGTCCATCAGCATCACCGTCTCTTCGACCTTTCCAAACTGATTGAAGTAGGCCTTGACCTCGTCGCTGCTCGTGTCCTGACTGACGCCTCCTACGAAGATCTTCTTGGTGCGGTTCGCCTGCTTCGCCCGGTTCTTCGGGGTCGCGTGCTTCGGGTCGATCTTCTTCCCGTCCAGGGTGTGAATCGGACACTTGAGGACCTTGTCGACGCTGCCGGGCTCGGCGAAGGTGATGAAGCCGAAGCCACGGCTGCGCTGTAACATTCAACGAAGCAAGAGCGTGATGCCGTGGGCCTCGTTGCTTCAAGGAGAGCCCGGAAATACACACACTCCCTCTCTCACTCTCTCTCGTATAATTCATTCGCTCACTCTCTTTCTCACTCTCCTAAAACGAAGCTCGTGTGTTCCGGCGCTTAGCGGATGATTAATTTTACCTCGGGAATGGAGTTTGATACAGCAGAGAGTAACACAGAAGATTCAAGGACATTGAAAGCTCAAGATCTCTACGCCAACTCTAAAGCTCTACGACAAACTCTCTCTCTGTCTGTCTAATTTTTGTTTCTCTTTTGCTCTTTTCTTTTACTCCGTAACCAACCTGTGTAACTGGATCCTTCATTATGAGTACGTCCGTGACGGTGCCGAACATCCCAAAGTATTCTCGCAGCTTCTCGCTGCTTGTCTGCCAGGAAAGCCCGCCGACGAAGAGCTTTCCTGGTGCCGGGTCACCACCGTTGGGTGTGCTCCTTCCGGAGCTTCCCGAGTGGCTGCCATTTATTGGCACTAGGGCGTTGTGGAAGTCGTGGTCAATCGCGCCGTTCGCTTCCATGCCAGCGCTGAAACACAAATCATTCTAATTGACGATCGGACGCTTGACTTTGAACAAAATATATTAAATCGTTACAAAATTATACGATATTCGATATATTTTCTTTTTCCTTTTATCTTTTACAGCTGATCCCTCTGGTAGCGCTTAATTGTCTGATATTCACAGCCATACCCCTTTTTGCCTGGCACAGGACCTTCGTGACTACTATCGACGTACAGTAAGTATCAATCGTTTAAAGATCAAAGCGCATAGCCTTAGCGTACAAACGAATATCCCGGTTATCGTCGATATTCCAATATATTCTGTAAAATCCCACTTAAATCAAAATTACACTGACTCCCAGTAACAAGCAAAAATAATGTCTCTCCCGCATTTTGGGTTCACGCGAGAAGTTACCGTGATATTTAAAATTTCATCGATCAATCTCAATGTTGGCTTCAGTCTAAATTCAATGAAAATCAAATAACGATCGAAGCTACTGATGACGTCAGACATAAAAAATATCCAACATTGTTTCTTTCAGACTCGGTAATTATCAGCGTTGGGAGATACCGACGGTCCCGCGGTTCTTTGACCTACGTAATCCTCGCAACCTTAAGGTAAGGTCACAAATGTAAAGTAAAGCAAGTACTTTCTACTATGCTAAGCGTATATACATATATATACACACATATTGCACTAAACAATTCGCATGGGCCCGTCCTAAGGCATAAAGAATAGATTCCCTAGCCGGGACACTGCTGGCATCCCAATGGTACAGCGGAGGGGCGGTAGAGATACAGGAGGAGAGTATCCTCCTGGACTTCGGGATATTCGGTAAGAAGCAGCATCTCCTCAGGATTGTAATATATCCCAGCGTCAGAGAGGGGGACGAGTGAACTAAGCCAGGAGAGAAAGTATATGACACAGCAAGGACGAGAGTAGGCGAGAGAGGAAGAGAGAGAGAGTAGTAGGTGTTCCAGGAGAGATGATGCTGTGCCCATCTCTCTTTCTCTCGTGATCACGTACGCGAGCGCACTCATTCTCTCTACTGAACTCTCGACATCCCTGAAACCATCTCTCCCCATGGCTCGACGGGGTCTCTCTCTCTCTCTCTCTACCCTGCACCCAATAGTCCCATCGCTCTCTGTACCATTGGGTACACCGGACTCGGTCCCGCGAGTTCAGGAGGGTCCGAGGGACGGAACGAAGGAAGAGATGGGAAAAGACGCTACGTTACTCGAGTTTGCGGGGTTGGAGCGGAGGGGATGAAAATGGCGAGGGGGGTGCAGGATACGGAGTCCCTAGCGAAGAGTGGGGGAGGGAGGGGTCGAAGGTACGAAGGCCCGCGGCAATGAGGATGGTGTGGGTTTAGGGTACGAGTGGCCCTGTAGGAAAGGGGTGAAGGAACGCGAGGGGCAAGGAGGAGGGTGGTGTATCTGTGTATGCGGGAGAGAGAAGGAGGGTGGATGGGTGGGTGAGCCGGGTGGGTGGGTGGATGAGAAGCGCGCAGCTGGTGGATCAATAGTCCCCGTACCCTCAGTGGCCGTACGGGGGTGTCGCGCGCGTTTCTCTCCGGCCTCATCGGCAACTACCCTCCTGCCTTCCCAACCTCCCTGACGGTTCGCGGCACCCCCACTGCCGACCGAGGAGCCCGGCAACCTCAGGGTTGAGGGGGAACAGGGTGCGGAGGCGCCGTCGCGCGACCGACGCAGTGCCGTCGGGACGCTCGACCGAGTCGCTACCGCCTTTTCACCGAGATAACCTCCATTGTCGCCAACGACCTCCGCTGCTGTCGTCGAGCATCGGCATTTAAAGAAAAAATATTCATCGACGACCCGCACGCGTTCGTCCAGCCAGAAGTATCGGACAGGCCGCCGCTGCGTCCACGTTCTTCCGATCTATGGGTTCGGCCCAGTGAGTTGAAAATTCTTGCGGATCCGCGCGTCTGTCTACGTAGTAGGCACGTCTACACCTCGGGCAACGTCTTCGTCGAGGTATAAATACCTGCGGGGCTCGGCTACGTGGACGAGGAGTTTACTGGGCTGGACCAGGAGGACGAAGAACCCAGCACAGCAGCCCCTGCCGGGAATATTGTCCTGTCACAGCAGTACGCCTTTTAAGAGTTACTGGTGTGATGGGACATTGTCCTCGACACGGTGCCAATCCTCATGCTCCGAAACGTAGTAACGATCGGAGGGAAACGAAATATTACGAATATTTTAACGTGAACCGATACGTCTCCGAGGGCTGCATTTATTCGGGTGGAAGGGTGAGATTGATTATAACTGTGAGAGAGCCGGGTCATAATGGGCAAAGGTAAATGCGCGCTCGACGTGTCCTGCCGGTCTCGACGTGTAACACGACGCGTTCTGGCCTGTTTGTGCTTATGCTCTCTCTCTCTCTCTCTCTCTCTCTCTCTCTCTGTCTCTCCCTCTCTCTCTCTCTGTCTCTCTTTAACTCTATCTAACAATCTCCCCTACCCCTTCGGACAGTTTACTAAGTATTTGCGTGCTGTACGGATTCGCGAAGACCGCCAAGTGTGCCACCCGCCGTTTCTTTACATTCTTTTCGTACACTTCTATCTGATCCTCGGCAAACAACACTTTTTCGTAATCGCGACAGATTCGTCCGAGTGTTCTTAACGAACCAATGAAAACAAGCCTGAGACAATGGTCTGAAATTTTATACGATCTTCGTTCGTCTGCCTCGTCGCGCCACGGAAGATTACACAAGACCAGCTCGAGCGTAGAATGGAATTAAGGCTGCTTTTCACGTAACGGCTTTCTACAGTGCGTATAGGAAAATTGATGTTGAGTAAAAGGAAAACAAAAAAAATCCATAAAATTGATTTACCTATAGAAGAAAAATTCTACGAATAGAGCGACAGTTGTAATAGTGTAAAGGAAGGAATTCAAGGGTGAAAATGCCATCGACGAGGGGATGAAATTTCGAGCCGGCAACCAAGAGCGCCGAACGGAAAGAGGAAAGAGAATCCTCGAGTACAAGAAGATGAATTGCCTCGTGTCCCAAGAAGGTAGAAAATCCAGGCTAACGTGAACGCTCGAGGCGAAACCGCTTCCGGTCGATAAAGGGGCACCTTCCGGTCGATAGAGGCGCGACTGCCCACCTGGTGGTCGGATTGATCAACCTCTTGTTACTTAAATTTCCTTAGCACAGTCGCTGCCACTCTAATGCCAACCAATGACCCCATGGGCAATGGTCCACTTTACGATGATCGACCTTACCCCGAGCGTCCGTTTCCTGGACGACGGACTCCCGTCTTCCTGAATAATGAAGTATCCTTTGTTTTTCGTGTCACGAGGAGGAGAATTAATTGGAAGAAAAACCGGAAACGTGACGAAGACAAAAGAATGACCCTCCGAAACCTTTTCTATTGGACGACAAAATTTCAACCAACCCTCGGCCACCGTCTATTGTTCCCTGGACTGAAGGATCCAGTGGTCTGCGAAAAGACTGTAAAAAAGAAAAAAATGACTAAAGAACTGAATTCAAAAAAAAAAAATAAAAAAAAAAATAAAAAGAAATAAAGGGACTCGAAAAGGGAACTCTCGAGGACACACGTGCGCTTTAGTAATTATCGACAGCACGCGACCCTCGTTATGCCTTCTCGATGTCGCCCTTATAACGCGTACCCTGCCTTATCGCGAGCTGACGTGCCGACATCGCCAAGAGACACTCCGAGGATACGGAAAGACGTCGGTTCCGTGTTAAATGCCTATACGGTTTTGATTTACATTGCGCGATCCACTGAATGAAGTCGTTCCTCGTGCAGATCGTGTGAATCGATGATAATATATACCAAAGTGCATTATTCAATTATATTGCGTAATTGAGAACCTAATAAAAGGCGTGACTGCGTATCGATAATCGTCCGCCGGGTGACTGTGTCGTGTACGATATTTATTTCGTATAAAACCGAACACCTGTGATTAAAAGATTAGTCAATTAATCAAAGTTTTATTATTCTACTGAGTAATGACGTAATTTATTTTTTTTTTTTTTTTTTTTCGTCATTACAACAAACCACCCTCGCCGTATCCGAAGCCAGAAGTGAGCCGTAACGAGAGAGGTCGACGTGGATAAGGAAGAGGACTTAACTAAAGAGAAATAGAAAGAGAATTGATTAGTCGCGAATTAGTGGGTGCGGCACGTCTCGCGGTGAGAGAGCCTGATTCCGAGGAGAATGGGGAAAAAGAAGTAGATAGATATATAGTTATGAGGGTGGATACAGTGGAGAAGGGTGCCGAGGGGCAGGGGGAAGGTTCGGAGCAACCCCACCAACGGTGTTAGAGGGCACGGTCGTCAGATGGCGACACTGGCGGCGCACCCGGCACTAGTACCGGCTGGCCGCCGTAGAGTGGCGACACGGTCGTGGCCTCGAGCAATGCGATGGAAACTGCCAAAAACGCTGGCAACACTTCCGAATCAATATTGTGCGATATCAGAGGAGAGGCGTACGCAAAGCAGACGCAGCCGGCAAATTGTGGATCGAAGTGAGACTAGACGCGAGCAAGAGAGACGGATGAGTAACGGATAACGGGGAAGAGCGACGGGGACAGAGAGAACTTACGAATTCTAGAAGAAACCACCGACGGACTCGAGGAAGCAGGCGATGGCTGGGAGAAATTCAATGGAAAGCGGCCGAGAGGTCTTCGGAAGATATCCAGGATGAAATCGAGTGAGACAAGGGAAATGACGTTAGATGTGTAGAAAGAAAAAAAAAAAACAGTAGTGAAAAAAAAAGCATATACGGAAATGGATATATATGTATATATCATTTATACTGTAACCGGGAAATAGAAAATTCCCTAGACGTACATATTAGATTACTTGGTGTGTAAAGCCTCGTCGCTCGAGATATATAAATATATATATATACATACACATATACACGATATATATATATCTATATATCAGTTACCGTAGTAGATGGCAAAAGTATTCACGATAATAGCATATAAAATTGTGTACACTAGTCAAAGAGATCGCAACCTCTAGTAATTCACGTAGCAGTAAAATAAGTAGTTTAGAAAGAAAAAAGAAAAAAAAAATCTTGTTAACCAGTATCTATCCACTGTAATAAATGGTAACTCCGGCTTGTTTCTGCACAGTAAAATAGTAGTCAGTGTATACATATATATGAGTGGTAATCACGTGCACTCCCAACATCCTCACTTAGAATTAAGAGGGCGGGGGGGGGGG